ACAGGGAACATAGTCTTCCAAAAATTTCTTAGGGACTACAAAAAGATTTTTTGAATAACACTGCTCTAATCCAATATTCTATAAAATAGAGGCCGAAAGCAAGGAATGGGCTACCGAACAAGGATGGTCAAAGAAGGTATTAGAAGAATTGACATTACAGCCTAGTCTTGAAGGATGAACCGACAAATAACCTCACTGCGTTATCAAAGGATTAAGAAGAATAGGAAGAAAAACCATGAGCAAAAAGAGGTATTCAGGGGAACTGCAAGCAGTTGGTCAGGGCAGGGTGTTGGGAAATAATGTTAGAGGGATAAGCAGGACAACGAATCACAAACAGGTTAGTTGGGGAACAAAATAGTTATCCACCCTCGAAAACCTGGAGTAAAGGAAAATGAGATTGCCCTCTTAAACAAACTAAGTAAGTACCTAATGAGAGGAGAAAAGAATGTCTTCTTGATTCAGACACTAACCTTAACACATCTAAAAAAGTGCCAACAAAACTGAATGAGAACTTAGTAACAGTAAGAATGGTTAGCAATGAACCACAGGGGGAAAAAAGCCAGTGAGGACAATTTGAACACTGACCAAAATAAACAATTAATCTGAGGCAAAAAACCATTCCGAGGTTTCTCTGGTGGGGACAGTTTGTTCATGAAGCCTGATTAGGACCTCAGCTAAAGCAATCCTCAAAATGATTGACCTTCCCCGGTTCTATTTTTATTTTCACAAATGATCAACCAACTGTTGATCTGTCTTTTTGGGCTCCTCAAGACTCAAAAAGGGAAGGCCCATTACTTCAATCACTACGAAGGCATAGTCCCTTTGGTAAGAAAATAATCATTTTAGGGTTTTTTTCCCCTTTTTTCTTTTTTCTTTTGTTTTGAGACACAGTCTTTCTCTGTCTCCCAGGCTAGAGTACAGTGGCATCATCACAGTTCTCTGCAACCTCCAACTCCTGGGCTCCAGTGATCCTCCTGCCTCAGCCTTTCAAGTAGCTGGGACTACAGGCATGTGTCACCACCTCCGACCAGCATTTTAGT